GACTCACGTATCCACAAGCTCGACAATGGTGTCTCCGGCGCCTGATGGCGTTGAAGGGCTCCTTGCAGCGCATGCACATGGTCACCAGGTTGTCCCGCACCCACTGCGGGGCTCGGCGGCCCAGCTCTTCCGTCTGGGGGTGGGAGATGGCGTCGCTGGGGCTGGCTAGCCACGATCCAGGTGGTCCCAGCCCCTCTGCTCTCATCTCTTTTCCCTTCCCAGCCCTTCTCCCCGCTCGCAGCCTCCCCCCCTCAGCTCTGTTTAGCTAGGGAAACTGAGGCACAGCAAGGCGGGCTCTCCTGAGCTGCAGCGCCGGAGGAGGCTGCTGGAGGCCGGCAGGGCACGGGGAGGGCAGGAGGCTTACCTTCAGCGCAGGGGTGCCCGTCTCCAGCCCGTGTACTGCGGTCTTAAAGGTCTCACTCCTCTTCTCCTTCCTGGCAATGGCATCTTGGAAGGCCTAGAGGGGAAGGCAGGGCTGCAGGGGCAGTCGGGGGGGGCTGCCCCTGACACAGGGCACCCAGCTGGGGTGAGTGAGAGGTGCCGCCTCTCTCAGCGCTCAGGGGGTACCTTGATCCAAGCATTCATCTCCTCCCCAGACCTGGGTACAAAACGGGAGATGGATAAGCCGTCGTCCCTCCTCCCCGAGGGTCTGCAGGACCATCGCCCTTCCCCTTACCTGGCTTGCAGCTCCAGCGTCCGCTGCTTTCCCGAGACCAGGAAGGTGTGAGGGAACTGCGTGTCGTTCAGCTCCCGCACCTGAGAGAGACCCAAGAAAGGATGTGGAGCAGCTGAACCCGCCTCCACCACGCAGGGACCTTCCTCCATGGTGCTGGGGACAGGGACTTCCCTCGGGCCCAAGCCCTTCAGCCCCTCAAATCCTTTGTGCACAAGATTTCACTGCTATTCCACAGGATCAGAGTGTATTAACCAGGTCTCCTCACCCACAAAGCCACCCCTGGCTCCAGCTCCTCCCTCCTTTCTGAGGAAGTGCGGGGCAGCAGCCACATTACACCCCAGAGCGGGGTGCATTTTGGAGGAGCCAGGGTCCGGGGGAAGCACAAAGACAAGGTGCCTGTCTGACCTTCATGCTGTCCACGTCGATGCGGAGGTGGACCTGGAACTCGGCGCCCACCTGGAGGACCCTGGGCACGCAGTAGA